CGTGCCCTGCGGTAGCACCGATGATTTGGTCGATGCGAGGGAGAGGGAAAGGGTCCTTTGGACAGGCCTTGTTAAGGTCTTTGAAATCGACGCAGAGGCGCCAGGATTTGTCCTTTTTTGGTACCATTACTAGGTTGGCTAGCCAGTCCGGATGTTTGATATCTCTGATGAATCCGGCTTCTAAGAAGTTGGCTAGCTCCTCTCCCATTGCCTGTCTTTTGGGTTCGGAAAATCGCCGAAGAGCTTGTTTGACTGGCTTGAATCCTTTTAGGATATTTAGGCTGTGCTCTGCCAGCCTGCGTGGGATTCCTGGCATGTATGAAGGGTGCCAGGCAAAAATTTCCCAATTTTCCCGGAGGAATTTTCGTAGTGCGGCTTCTACATCAGGATTTAATTGTGCCCCAATGGATGCCGTCTTTGTGGGGTCCGTTGGATGGACCTGAAATTTGACTATTTCGTCTGCTGGTTTGAAAGAGGTGGACTTGGACCTCTTATCGAGTATCACATCGTCCCTATCCACCATGGAGCGCAGCGTAGTTAGTTCCTCTGCTGCTAGGGCTTCGGATAATGCCTCTAGGGCCAGTGCGGCTGTCTTATTTTCAGTGTGGAGTGCTATATCTGGATCACTGGCGAGAGTGATTATTCCATTGGGTCCGGGCATTTTGAGCTTCATGTACCCGTAATGGGGTATAGCTTGGAAGATTGTGAATGCCTCTCGCCCTAACAAGGCGTGATATCCGCTGCCGAATGGGGCCACTTGGAACGTGACCTCTTCGGACCTGTAATTGTCCGGCGAGCCGAACACTACATCTAGTGTGATTTTTCCTGTGCAGCGTACTTCTCGACTAGGGATTATTCCCCTGAAGGTTGTGTTGCTCCGCTCGATGCGGCTCCAGTCAATTTCCATTTTTTGAAGAGTTTCTTCGTAGATGAGGTTTAATCCGCTGCCGCCATCCATGAGTACCTTGGTAAGACGAAAGCCGTCCACTATCGGGTTGAGGACCAATGCGGCTGGTGCTCTAGCTGTTCGAAATTTAGGTTCGTCGCTGGCATTGAAGGTGATAGCCATGTCACTCCATGGATTTGTTGTTGCTACTTGGTAGACTTCGGAGAGGCTGCGGATTGTTCGTTTCCGCATGTTATTTGATGCGAAAGTCTCGAAGACTGTTAATACCGTACTGGTGATGCTGGGCTGGTTGCCCGGGGCTAAAAAGCCTTCGTCACTTTTGGGCGTAATATCCAACATGCTCGAAGGCTATGTGTTGGAGTGGCGCCCTCCGTACTGTGGATTTTGCAGGGTCCGCTGAGCCATCCCTCCAGTACGGTTCTGTACCCTTTAGGGGGTTTTTGCTTTTTGGTTTTTAACCCAGGTTCTTGAGTACGACGCACCTTTTTATTTTGCACTGGGGTTGTATTCAGGGCCGGATTGTCCCAAAACCTAGTTTCGGTTTTCCAGGCACTCTCCATCGCGCAGTATTTTTGTACAATGGTCGCTAGGTCGACAAAGCATGTAACTTCGCGACGACTGATGGCGTTTATGATCCCTTGTCCGTGCAATTGTTGCAGAAGATTGAAATCACGCTTTCTTCACGGCAGTCCTTTATCCTGTTCATAACCAGGAGGAATCTGGCCCAGTAATGATGTACTGTTTCATCGGGCTCTTGCCGTATTTGAGATAGATTGCTTATGTTTGAGTGGGCGGGTGGAATCAAGTTTGGAACCCCGCCTGATCCGAGGCTCAAAGGCCAAGAAGCTTCCGGATTCGTAAGCTTGGTTTGCTGGACGCTTTCCAACAAATCTGGTCTGATGCCTGACTTTAGGTTCAGCATTTGATTAGCGTCCGTCCTTCCGCGGGAATCCGGCATGGAGGGATCGAGAATCCGGACATAGTTGGTTTTTAACATGGAAGAAGAGTCGCCGCATTGTTCCTCTACCACAACAACGTGGTGGGTAACCTGGGGAGAGTTAATTTCTCTCAGATCGGTTTTAAGCCCAATCCGATCGTAGTCGGTAGCGACTCCCAGGGTGGCGATGTGATCCAAGTGCTCGTTTACGGAGGAGAGATCAATCAGATCTAGCTTCTCGGCGAATTCCGAGTTGACGTGAAGATCGCTTTTAATGACCTGAGAGGTCATTGTCGGAGCGGTGGCCAAACAGGCGGTCATAAGAAAACCGCCTAGCCGGATAGTCTGGCCGGCGGCCAAAGCTCCCTCGACGACGGTGCCGTCTTTAAAGACAGGAAAAGGCATCCTTCCTGATGGTGACGGCACAGAGGAACTCTCAATGAAAGCACCAATGTCGGTGTCAAAACCGGCGGATCTCGGGTAGGGGGTCCCGAACTGTGCGTCTAGGCGGATGGTAACAGGAGACAAGGACACGATGTTTTACCCAGGTTCGGGCCCTCTTGATGGAGGTAAAACCCTACGTCCTGCTTGATTAATATTGATGATGTGTGTTACAAGAGTGGATCTACCACGAGATCAAGGAGGCTAAACCCTAGAAGCTAGCCTATGGTATGATTGTTGTTCGTCCTATGGACTAAAGCCATCCGGTTTATATAGACACCGGAGAGGGCTAGGGTTACACAAAGTCGGTTACAATGGTAGGAGATCTACATATCCGTATCGCCAAGCTTGCCTTCCACGCCAAGGAAAGTCCCATCCGGACACGGGACGAAGTCTTCAATCTTGTATCTTCATAGTCTTGGAGTCCGGCCGATGATGATAGTTCGGCTATCCGGACACCCCCTAGTCCGGAACTCCCTCACCGCTATTAGTGACTTTGGAGTGAATCTTTGTTGCATGTTGAGGCATTGTTATATGATCTAATTTATGTTATCATTGTTGAGAGAACTTGCACTAGTGAAAGTATGAACCCTATGCCTTGTTTTGAAGCATTGCAATACCGTTTTTGCTCACTTTTATTACTAGTTACCTTGCTGTTTTTATAATTTCAAATTACAAAAACCTATATCTACCATCCATATTGCACTTGTATCACCATCTTTTCGCCGAACTAGTGCACCTATACAATTTACCATTGTATTGGGTGTGCTGGGGACACAAGATACTCTTTGCTATTTTGTTGCAGGGTTGTTTGAGAGGGACCATCTTCATACTATGCCTCCCACGGATTGATAAACCTTAGGTCATCCACTTAAGGGAAAGTTGCTACTGTCCTACAAACCTCTGCACTTGGAGGCCCACAATGTCTACAAGAAGAAGGTTGTGTAGTAGACATCAGGCACCATGTCGGTGGCGGTGGCTCTCCCTCTTGGTCGAGTGGGCAGCATGGGGATAGCGGTGGGTGGCTCGGGCGCTCTCCCTATCCTTGGCAGCAGCGTCGCCCCGATCCGGACCAGGGGAGCTGAACTCATTGCGCCTGTCCTGAAGACCTCGTGTGGCACGGGGGAGCTTCCATGCGAAACCTGTCGCTACTCTGCAGGCGGCACGGGGAGGTGTGGACCTCCTTCTCTTGGATGTGTGATGTGGTAGGTGTAGATCTAGGGTTTTTGCTTGGGCGAGTTGTTCTGGGCTCAGGGCCAATCGAAACTTGTGCTTTGGGTAGGAGAGGTCGGGCTTGGCCCAAGGTGTGCTCGTTGGTGACCTTCGTGATCTCTTCATGGGCATAATGGTCAGTGATGGTGGTCTGGTCTTCGCTATCATGTCCGGCAGATCGACGACGCTGGCCATGGTTGAGGCGTCGCGTGAGCGGGCTCAGCGGTGGTCATCGGTAGTCACGGGGTTGTGTCCCCCCGGTCCATCGGGACCGTCTGGGGACGCATGTGTGGACGCCCCTTACTGTGGGGGCATCGGCCCAGATCTGGTAACTGAAGACGGGCTAGGAAGGAAAGGAGATCCCTTTCTTTCATCCTTCCATGGTTGTTGCTCCGTGATGGACGGATGGTGGTGGCTACGACATGGATGTCGGAGCGGCAGCTCCGAATGGCGGTCCGCATGGTTGGCTCCTCAGTTGGGCACCATGTCGGTGGCGGTGGCTCTCCCTCTTGGTCGTGTGGGCGGCATGGGGATAGCGCTGGGTGGCTCGGGCGCTCCCCTTGTCCTTGGTAGCGGCGTCACCCCCATCCGGACCAGGGGAGCTGAACTCATTGTGCCTGTCCTGAAGACCTCGTGTGGCACGGGGGAGCTACCGAGCGAAACCTCTGCACTTTGTCACCGATGATGGCAACACTTGCGGGCGTCACTTTCGTCTTGAAGACGTCGTCGTGGTGCTCCTCTTCATGCAAGGATTCTGGGTGAAGACCCTTGTCTCTTCTGGACTCGATGGCGGCGACGCTTTGCGCCATTTTCCCTCCTGTGGGCGTTGTCATTGAGCTTAGGTGTTTAGGGCATTGTGTGGCGTTGTACCCGGCTTCTCTTTGCTTTCTTTTGGTAGCGTAGCAGTTCTGCTTGATACGTTTATCAGGGGATCGACATTGTATGAGAGATACCCACCATCTTGTATCGTTCGGCCGTGTACTTGGTTCGGTTATTGCTTTATATGTAAAGCGGGGTGTAAACCTGTTTCGAGTCGCAGAGGAAGATGCACTGGTCGACAAATATCAATGCAGCTTGTTGTGGTGGTGGTGGTGGTTGTTATTGTTAATAGAAATTACACAAGGTGATTATATATTTTATACTCCCTCCGTCCGGAAATACTTCTCATCAAAATGAATAAAAGGGGATGTATCTAGATGTACATCTAGATACATCCCCTTTTATTCATTTTGATGAGAAGTATTTCCGGACGGAGGGAGTATTTAACATGTAGTACAACAAGCTATGATTGCCCAAAACTTGTTTATAGAAATTATAGAGGGTGATTATAGATCGAAGATTGGTCCACATTTTTTTTGCATACATTGATAATGTTGTGAGTTCAACACTTTTACTAGTTATAGTTAAGGTGTTTCCACCCCTAATGGTAGTTAGTTAATGAATAGACATCATGTACCATTTCTGGGATGTTTATATTTACTTTTTACACAAATTGACTTACTATCATACCAATGCTCCCAGTCGTTCGGAAATTCTTGAAACATCTATACCAATTCTTGTGCTGAAAGCCTGTAAAATAACAAGAAAGAAATTTATGAAATCAGTTAACTTAATTTGATGCAAATTGGATAACTTTATAATTTGATATTTAGATGGAAATTAACCAATCCTCCATCACACAAGCAATTTTTTTCCAGCCGCGTCTAACTAAATTTAGCACATACATTCAGGCCATAAGAGAGGGACAAAAAATGAAGACATAAGTAAAGATGTGTATGTCATGTTGTGTACATCCAAGGTTGTTTTCAAACTTCTGGGCTAGCTTTCCTCCTTCTTTTTCTTTCTATCATTCTATAGCCTAAGAAAATGATTGGAGAGGAATCTATAGTTCCGCAGATTCACATACGCACAGGGACAATCTTATATTTTCTTTTGTGCATTTTACTTGTACATATGTTGCTAATTCAGTATAACGTTACTTAGAAACTAACATTACCCGTGAGATGAGTATGAACACATATTTTTATTAAGGCTATCGATTCAAGGTTCCAAAAAGGAAAAATAATATTTTCACACAAAAATCATTTTAATCAGCAAATAATGCTTTTAATGATACAATTTTCATGCCTCATGAACAATATTTTATTGGTATAATTGATTATTGGTCGAAACCTTAATCCTAGGACTCGTGTGCGCATTATGTTTTGTAGCGTGTGTATGTACGTACCCGGGAGTGTATAGTGTAGAATATTCTGTCGGCAGCAACAGAGTGATTAGCGTTAATGATGACAGCCCCTTCTTCCTCAAGAATGGTGATCACCTCATGGATCTTGATAGGCCTCTCTGTGCTGCATATCAGCCTTACCTCCATGCTTTCATCGTCGTATTGCCGCACATCCACTACCCGTGGTGATACCTCCAATTTTTTTCCTCCTTCTGGTGACCCCGCACCGCTGCTTGTGGTAGCAGTGATAGTGGGCGTCGAGATGCCACTAACTCCCAGTAACGTAGCCATGGCTTGTGCAGAGACCTTCTTGTGTTGTAGATCATCGACCCATTCCTTGAGCTTCTTGATGTATGATGCCGCCACATCCAGGCTGCCTAGCTGGCTCAATGCATCCTATATATGCATTAAAGGAACAATAATATAAACATATTATGAAGTGAATTTTTTTATTTGATGACATGATTTCCTTGGCTGATAATCTTGATAATGGACGAGTTGTATTTTTTCCCAGTTTATTTATGGTGATGCATGTGATTACACAAAACAAACCTTCTGGATTTGACACTATATTATTCATATCATCTTGTGTAAGCCCATACTTTCAAACATCACGTTATCTGGGCGCTATAGCGTTTAGAGGGGCATCATGCTAAGTCGATTACCACCAATTAACGCGCTATAGCACTAGTTAGCGCGCTAACACTTCCACTATTTAAAACTTGCGTAAAAAAAATTGTGGATATCCTTTAGTCGACAGTGTGTTTGTACTCTTTGCTTAATAATATGGCTGTGTGGATCAATCGAAAAAAAAACAATGTGTTCTTACTTTGCACTTGTTTTTCTATACCGTGCCTCGACATGCCATGAGCTCCAAAAATATACTCTTGGACGGAGGGAGTAGTACCTAATGTGAAAATAAATGCCCAGCAAACACTCCTAATTACCATTCTCCACTTAAATATTCACAATACAATATATAAACTCAATAGTTTCTGGAGAGGACGAGATCATGAGATAATAAGCATGGAGAATTGGAGAGAAACAACTAGCTAGCTATCAATCAACTATATAAGAAAAAAGGGAACAAGCTAGCATGTGAAGAGAAGTGTGTTCTTTCATTACAGCGTGGGGGAAGTGTTGTTTTGGGATGAGGGACGCGAGCTTGTCGCAGAGCGCCTTCATGCGCTGCCTCCTCTGCCTCTCGGACCTCTTCTTCTCCATCGGTGCCGCCGTGTCGCCAGTCGCCCTGGTCCTCTTTCCGCCACTCACCGGCTTGGCCTTCATCTCCATCTAGCTTAGCAGGGAGAGATCGATCAGCAGCCCCGGTCTTATTGCTCTAGAACGAAATTTAAACGTAATGGAGAAGAAGATACCGAGGTGCAGGCAGCTGCTAGGTTCATGGCGGCAGCTCTAGCTAGGTAGGATTAGGATGCGATGGAGGAGGAAGAAGGAGTGCGTGGTAAGGGCTGGCCTGATCTGAGAATATATGCTAGGCCAATGGGTGTATAGAAAAAAGGGTATATATTGTGTTCAAAATGTGTGTACAGATATACGAGGTAGTATATCCGTGGCTACAGTAGTGGATTTCAGTACGTACACATGCTATTGGTTGGAGTGGGATGCAGTGGTGGAGCCAGAAAAATAGGGCCGAGTATTATTAAACCTTGTTGGGGTGGGCCAATCCATCAAAAAACACTGTTCATATACTAGGCCACTGGTGGGATGGAGAAATTTCAAGGGAGATTTGCAGCTGCGTGTTGTTGTTATATGCTCCGCGTGTTCCGGTGACAAAGGTGACAGCAGCGTGTGCATGCATGGATCTATTGGTTAAACACGTACAGTAGGATCCAGCGTATAATTCCCGGCCGTGGGCGATATATACAACAAGCACAGCATGCATGCAGGATTGGGTGCAAGTGGGAGTGGGCCTTCTGCCATATGTACGTGGGCGCAAGATACTTTCGTTTTTTTCCAAAAGGATCATGTATCTACTCCCTCCGTTTCATAATATAGTGTGCACACGTTTTCCGGGATCTAAGTTTGACCATAAATTTAAACAACGAAAGTGACTACGACGGGAGCAAAGGTTATACCAACGAATTTGCTATTTCGACACGAATTCGGTACTATAATTTTTACTTCCGCCGCAGTCGGTCTCGATGGTTGAATTTATGGTCAAACTTAAATTTTGGAAAGTGCGGGCACACTACATTGTACTAATCACCTCAAACATAATAAAAATTACATCAAGGTTCATGGACCACCGAACGACCATTGCCTCCGCTAGAACGAGCCGCCGACGCGCCATTGTCGCCGCTCCCATACTGTAGCCGGCCTGACCTTGTCGGTGACAACCAGGAAGTCTTCGTACACGTGCCCCTAAGGACCAGCGCCAACAGCTAGTTATATGAAGTTTTTCACGGTATGTTTTTTGGGACCTGTAGGGCTTGCTCTAATAGCATATTTCCGGGCCAACAACTAGTTATATGAAGTTGTCACATCAAATATAGCCCAACTAATAGTCACGTGTACAATAGTTAGTCGTACTAGTATGTTATTAATATGCGGCCCATCTTTTTCTCTCACAAAACATGTTGGAACACATGCTACAGCCGGTTGTAATTCTACAGCCCGTTTATCATCTCTCTCCTTCAACCAGGGAAAAAAATCTAATGTGGGATCTCTTATAGCCCAGGTACGTCACTTTAGGGAATCTCCAACGCTGACATGTAAATTTGCTCCAGTATCCATCCACGAACAAGTGGGGACTTGTTCGCCGCCACGGATGCAGGAGGTGGCCATCCAAAGCTAGCCACATATGTCCGGTTACATTTCAAGCGAAATTCAACCAAAATGACAAAATTTAATGCAAACTCAAACAAACCAGATGATATTCATTTATACCTAGAATTTTTTTTTACATAAAACATGAACATATTTGGTCCGGTGAACTAAAAATGCATCGTGCGTAGATCATGCGTAGTACGAGCTTCATCCTGCATCATGCATAGTACAGGCGTGGCCACCGACGACGTGGGGCAGAGCGGGTGGCGGGCTTGGAGGATGTTGCATTGGCGGCGACGATCTCGCTGAGAGATCACTCTTCGCCGTACTTGGCTATCTCCTTGTCGAGGCATCGGAGACGGCACTTGCTCGGCTCTGCCGTCGTCATGGAGCGGTCCAGGGCCCAGCCGTAACCCAGGTCCGGGACCACTGTGATGTGTGGCGGCGGAACGTCGGAGTCTGTGAAGCCCGTCTGGGGCGCCTTCTTCGACGCGTTAGTGTGGCGAGGGGGCTCCTCCTTGACGCGGCATCCCATTTAGACACCGCGGTAGCGCTGGGAAGAGCGCGGAGGGGAGGGGGCTCTGGCTTCACGCGGAGGAACTTCTCAGTTGGTGACACCGGGCCGTTGGCGTGGAGGACAGAGCGACGGAGTGTCACCTCCAGCCGCTGCTCATACTAATCGTCCATGATGGTGAACAACGGCGCGCGATTGCTACTGCAGCGGCTGGTCCTCCTTGTCACCTGAGGAGATGATGATCACCACCTTCCACGAGGAGCCGCCCGCCAATGAGGACGACGGCCCCGGAGTTCGAGGGCGGCAACGCCAAGATCCCCACGACTTGCAGTGGTCCAGACGACTGCAAAGTCCACCCCCGAGTTTGTCTCCGGTTTACGGAAAAGTGTGTTTGGATGGCTAAGCGGATCGATACCGGACCGCGTTGGATGACAGAAGACGCCCGGACGTATATGGATGACTTAGACGGTCTGCATTGTACTCGCCCTCTTTTTGGTATAAGCAAAAATGCCACACAAACGGGCTATAAGCCTGTTTGCCATTGTGCTGTTTTTATTTACTATTCCCTCTGAGTCACTTATTTTGACACAAAGAAAATATAGTGAGTTATAATGTGCTCGATCATGACCGGACAGTGATCAGATGACCCGCCAAATATATGAGACGGGTTTGAGGCACCCTAAATGCTCTTATGATGGCAGCGCCCTAGATCGATCTCCATGCCGGCCGGCACCGTGGCACCGCATTAATTAACTCAGTGAATGGATGGCAGAGAACGAACTGCCGGAAAATGTTTCATCGAATCGCATGCATGCCGTCCTCCTCGTCTTCCTCGTCGCGGAGAGGCAAGAACGGCGGTGGCGGTCCGGCCGACACGGATCTGATGACGTCGTCCTCAAATTCCTCCGACACGGATCTTCACCACTTCCTCGCCCGCATTTTGCCCTTCCGATCGCCGGCATAGCTGTGGGAATCCACGACAAGAGGTGGGTCCATGTCGGACCCATCGGAGGAGGAGGAATCAGAGATGACGGTGTAGCCTTCCAAGCAATGGACGACGCGGTCTTGCTTGCGCTTGAGCTTGGCTATCATCGCCGCCTCCCACTCGGATTGCTAAATGCCGAGCTGGAGCTGCTTGGCGTTGAGCTTCCGGAGCTGTCGGGCCTTCGTCTTCGCCTCATTCAGTGACCAGTGGCACGCTCACTCGAAGAGACGGTCATCCTCGTCGGGCACCCGGCGGCGGCGGGCGGACTGGGCAGACCCGTTGGACCCACTCGCCATCTCCCTTGCCCCCTACCTCTCGCGGCTGGCGGCGCGTGCCTCTGACTCCAGAGTCTGTATCTGCGGCATCGGCGGAGCGGGCACTAGAACCCAGCACTGTCCTCGCGAAGCAGCGGCTGAAGGTGGAGGAGGCCGTCGGGCGAGAGAAGCAGATCGGGCAGGCCTCGCACATCCACGCGCAGGGCAGGAATGGCCGGCGCCGGCATCGGTGCTGCCGCGACGGGCGATGGGTGGCATTACATCGGACCTAGAGCTGCCGCCCGTATCGACCCGCGAGTGCTCAAGTGCGATACGGAGCGCCAACTTCTCCTCGTCTCCGGAGCTGCCATCAGAGTGGCTGCTGGTGCTGAACAATGCTTGTCGGCGCTAGGGATTTGGCGGATTGGGGAAATGGGAGCGTCGAGGAGCGGAGCGGAGCAGAGCGGAGAGGAATGAGCTAGGGTTTGTGCCGGACAGGGGGGTTTGTGGGATCGGGATGGGCCAACGGTGGGCCGGGCTGACATGGCGGACGCGCCCGGGCGTGCCTAGGCCGCCTCATATCCTCCCAACATTTGGGACGGATATGAGGAGTGCCAGTCAGCCCCGACGTTTGAGGCCCATTTGAGAGGTCTGATTTGGTCGGTTTTTCGTGCCCGAATGGCCTGCCCGGGCGTTTGAGACGAACACATGATGCCCGGTTGTAGATGCTCTGAGGCTGCCCTTGCTCATGTATATATCACGTTATGGAGAATATCACATGGAAAACAACATTCAAAGAAAACTTCGCAAGAATCACATTTAAAAATTTCTGAAAAATCTAGAAAAAACATGAGATTTTACGAAGGTGATGTCTCATTGCCATACGAAATTTTGAGTTAAAACACATTATAAGATGTGAGCTATGAAAAAGATAAATTCAGCAAATAATAATGATATTACTGTTTGGCATTATTCAATGATGATTTTGTTACTTTTACATCTCACAACCCGTAATGCGTTTAAACTTGAATTTTTGCATGGCAATAAGCCCCACACACACACACATGTATAGAAACAAAGACTCTCTATCTCACCCACACATCTATACAAGCAAAGATTCTCTTTCCCTTTGTCTCTCTCCATCTCTCTCTCTCACACACGTATACAAACAAACTACTTATCTCTCCCTCCGCATACGTCGCGTCAAGCCCTGTGATTCTGCGAACATTATTATTCCTGGCGTATGCATATAATATCGATGTGCATTTCACCAATATGAAGAATGTGCAAAAAATTGAATGGCCTATCACATCCATAGAAATGCGTGGTCGACGCATGCATGGATGCATGCATGGCGCCAAATGAAGAAACAAAACCCGGATATATCTCTTGTGGAAGCTAGCTAGCTAGTAGTCCGATGCATGGCACAGATGGACGATGGAGACATGCCATGCTAACATGTGTGCATGGACCAACACAGCAACGGCCCATCCTATGCTCCAAACAAAAAGCAGGTCTACAAAAATACAGATTTGTAGGCTACAAAAATACAGATTTGTGGCTACCAAGAAGGAAGAAAATTGTGGCCATTAGTAGTTTAGTACAAGTACAATCTTTATAATTTACTGGGGTCGCACGATAATGTTTTCATTTTTTAAAAGGCCCCATGTAGTTTGGGATCCACATTACTTTTCCAACAGTCATATACTACATTGCATGCCCTAATGCTTCACGTGCCCTTGTTCCTTCTTCCATGTATATATTCTATGCTCCACTTGGAAATTTGTGTACAGAACATTGCAAGCTAGAAATAGGACTTCACACACACTTTTCTTCTAAAAATTGTTTTGGCCATAATCTCCG